AACATGACTGCTTTGTGCAATGATATTGCACAGAACGGGCTCTTACCTCCTCTTCTGAGTCCCCTGCTGGCACTGTCCACTCCTTTCCTGCGTGTGCCCCCATAGCAAGCTGCCTGCTATGGGGGGCAGGCGTGCCCGAGCCAGGTTGTGTACATCCATAGACACACACAACATGGCCCCACCCCCTACTCCCTCCTCACAGGGCAAAGAACGTTCAGAATCCGCAGCACTCTTCAGTCTTTATTTAATGTAAATAAAATCCATATCACAGACAGTGTCTGGGACAAAGAGGTTAATGCAATTCACGCTAAAAACTAGCACTTATTTATAGGTTATGAATAAGAGCTAGCTTTTAATGTGAAAATGTACAGCGCTGTACTGCTGTAATGTACAGCGCTGAGCGAACTGTTGGCGCTATATAACTACTGTGTAATAATAATAATAATAATGTGAATTGCATTAACCTCTTTGTCCCGGACTCTGTCTGTGATATGGATTTTATTTTCAATAATAAAGACTGAAGAGTGCAGTGGATTCCAGACGTTCTTTGCTTTGTAGTTCCACAGACGAGCTGTGTGAGCACCTTCACTCTAATGTTCAGTGGATGACTTGTACTACTCACCTGGAGGGGCTATGCTGTGTTTGTCCCTCCCCACAGGATTTGACTGAGAGCAGCAGAAGCCAATGGCCACGGCTGCTCTCAGTGTAACCTGCAAGACCAGGCAAAGGGGAGAGAAGAGCCGCAGCTGGACACAGTGCTGGAATGATAGAGGAGGGGGCTAGAACAGGTGGGGGGCTGTTTTTCATTGAAACCTATTCCATGGTGTAGGGAGCTTTCAGAAAAAAGAGCAGATTGAGGAACTAAAACCTGTCTGTAGGTGCAGGGTTGCTTACATGGCAAAGCTGGCATTGTAGATTATATTGACAGATCACCTCTCCACTCCAGACGGTTGTGGAAGCGGCTTTATGCCCTCTTTGATTGCTGCAATATAGATTTCATAACCAATGCATGGCAGATGTGAGAATAGTCAGCCCTAGCTAAAAACTAAGGTGTTGTTCACACAGGCTACAAGTAAGAGTATAGGGTATAATGCCGAGCATTTACAAAGATTTCGGCAGGCTTCAAGCAGCTTTGTTGAAGCCTTAAAAGAACTGTTCCGTTCCAGTGTGGGAATGCTAAACACAGATCTTAATGGGATTGCTGACTGTCACTTTAAAGTGCATTAAGGTAAAAAGTGTGCCCCACTACCTGTTTACCTTTTTTTTTTTTTTTTTTTGTAATTTTATTACAGTATAAGTCATAGACACTGGCTGTCGAAAGAGCTTAGTGTACTCTCATAGTTCCTTCTGTTTCAACCAGATTTGGGTGAAGACTGCCAAGGCCCAGTATAAAACTTTTATACATGAGAGATTCTACACTATGTAGACCAGAATATTTATTATAGCTTTCACTTCTACGATTGTGGTCTCGTCATAGGTGGTTCCTCCTTCCAGCCAAATTAGGTGGATGGGGGAAGCCTCCCCCCAGCCGGAACATTGTATTCTGACACTGATTGGCTCCAGCCGCTGATCGGAAAACGTTTTCGACCTTGTCTGTTTGACAGACTTCGATTTATTAATTGATTGAGGATGGACACACATGAACTGAAATTCAGTCAGTCCCCTCTGAACCACCCCACTTTCGATCTGTCAGTGGCCAGCTTTGGTTATGACTTTATTGAACATCTACAAAACAATAAATGGCTGTGCACAAGCTGCAAAAACTGCCAGTATTTCCTGTAGAAATTGTTTTTCAGGAGTCCTACACTGTATAGCCTCCTTTCTTTGCATTAGCTGGTCCTTTTGTGCACATATTTTTAAATGTGTCAAGTGTAGCACTTTCACATAAGGAGCATTGTCATTGTAGGAGCTGTGTTTCCTCAGAACTCTAGACAAAACTTTTTGTTTTGTATTTTAGATGGGGTATGAGAGGGTTACAACCACAGCTGGGCTATTACGGCTTTCAGTGTCCACACTGGGGAGATGTATCCACTCTTCCTGTCATATCAGCAGGACAGGAAATGAGGTGAAATCCTTCCCCCACAGGAACACTGTCTCTTGGCCTGAGGCCATGGCAGGTAGTGAGTGAAAATTTTACCATTTTGCTGCATAGTTCATTGTGGGGAGTGGAAGGAAATAGCCAGTACTTCCGGGTATGAAGGAGCATGTGATTTACTCTGTGTGACAGAGCTGGGTCAATCAGTGCTGTCACAACAGGAATCCACAGCCCATCTGCACCACTCCAATGATTGTAGCTTACATAGGACTTCCCTTTGTTCCTAGTGTCTGAAGACAGACAGTGGCAGTTATCGTAAAGAAGATATGTTCTGCTGGGTAGGGGGCAATGAAGTGATCGTTATGCCTTTTCTTTGATGGACAAATCATAGGCTGACTTTAAAGTGGTATAATGTCATGAACATGTTGCATTCATGTTTCCTTGTTATCAGCTTTTAAAGTAATTAAAACCAATTTTTTTGTTCTGCTTTTAGAATGTTCCCTGAGATTGTATGGATCATCACTGACCAGATTTGCATTTAAAGCAAGTGACATTAATATAGACATAAAGTTTCCTCCAAAGGTATGTATAGCGAGAGACATTCCCTGTCACGCGTACACACAGGAAGCCTCCTCTGTGTGATTTAAAAGAGGCAGCCTGTCATCTCACCGGTAACTTTTTTGTCAGTTCTGAATCAGTTAGGGAAGGACAGCTTCCAAATTTGTATTACTCTGTTCTTATAAGGGAAACCTTTCTGTAACTGAGACATGAACAGCTGTAAAACCATTTTTGTACCTATTTTGTACCTATGGTATAGTTATAGTCTGGATGAAAAAAGACAAAAGTCCATCCAGTTCAACCATAGAAAAAAAAAAGTTATAATCCTATACCCACAGTATACTTGTATGTAATTCCAGAACATCGTGTAATGTAATTTTGTCTGTTTTAGATGAGCCAGCCAGATGTTTTAATCCAGGTTCTTGAGATTTTGAAGAACAGCTGTAAGTCATTATCATTATTATACACTTTTACCCTTTTTGTTTATTGTTTGCATTTTACCAGATTCTGTATGTGCTACTAATTATATTGGCTAGTAGCAAAACATGACATTTAAAGGAGATGTGCGGGATTGTAAAAAAACAAAAAAACAAACAAACAAAAAAAAAAAAACACATATACTTACCTACCTGATGCAACATCGGTCCGATGCTGCAGCTGTTCCCCATCACATCTAAGTCCAAGAACTGAGTGATCACTTGACAGGTGATTGCTCAGTTCTAGGTTCTGCTCTGAGCAGAGAGTAGTGGCTGTCAATCACCGCTCCCTACTCTGCCCCTCCAGCGCTCACTGGATCACCAGGCTATAAAGGGGGCGGGAGTGGCTGGCTGAGGTTCTCAGCAGCATGCTGAGAGGCTGAGCCAGCTGCTGGTTAGGAATCTTGGGAGGATCCCAGCATTGTCTGGTTCCTTTCAGAGATTGGACCTGGTCTGTGACCTCAGTCGATAGCGGGCTTTACCCCATTGCCAGATTATTCTGGGTCACAGAAGTGCAAAATATAAGTGCACTCCTGTGACCCACATGAAAACTATAGCCAAACAAGCTTTAGCCATCATTTGCCTTTAGCTAATCCTGGTTAAAGACTATCAGCTTGCTGAAACCAGTGGAATGGTTATTTTAAAAAAAAAGTGAACTAAAAATCAATAAAACTAAGAAGAAATGGCATGGGTTGATATGAGTATAACTGAAGGCAAAACTTTTTTTTTTTTTTTTTTTTTTTTTAGTAGAGTGGAGAGGTATTAGAACACCTGTCATGTTTTTATTGCAGTCTGGTTCCCTCTCTATTTGTTATGTTTACCATTATCATCCAAAGTGAAAGTAAAAAAAAAATCCTCATTTTGGATTGTACAGAACAGTTAAAGATAGGAGATCTTGAAATGGGAACACTAGATCTGGTGACAATCAGGGATTCCCTCACTTTGAAGGGTCTTCCTGCTTTGGTTGTGGGACAGGAAGTGAAAGGAAATCTCCTGAATGGGACACAGATGACAAAAACAAACCTTATAACCCTTCATCACTATATTGAAAATGGAAAAAAAAAAGTTTTGCCTTTAGTTCTACTATAAAGTGAACCTGTACTTTGGCTATATTAAAGTGATTATAAAGGTTCAATTTTTTTTTTTTTTTGAAATAACAAGCATGTCATTCTTACCTGCTGTGTGCAGTGGTTTTGCACAGAGCAGAACCGATCCTCCTCTTCTCGGGTCTCCCACAGGCTCTCCTGGCTCCTCCTGTCTGTAGAAGCTTGCTATGGGAGCACCTGCTGCTCCGTGTGTCCATTCACACTCGGAGCCATGGTTTGGCCCCACCCTCCTCTCCTCATTGGCTGACTGGCTGTGATTGAAAGCAGTCTCAGCAAGTGAGGAGGCAGAAACCCGGGGCTGCTGAGGCTGTCATTCACATCCCTGGATCATGATGAGGCTCAGGTATGAATTGAGGGGGCTGGGGGAGCTGCTGCACACAAAAAGGTTTTTTACCTGCATGCATAGAATGCATGCAGGTAAAAAAACCTTCAGCCTTTACAACCACTTTAAGTAAGAGGTAAACCGCCCACCAGAAACAATTCAGTTTCTTTTACTTTTACCACACTGTCTGCCACTTTTAACCTGCAGTAGTTCAGGGAAGCCTCTTGTCTATGGGATACACATCAGTGCCTGACTGGCCGGTCACTAGGTCAGAGCACTGACGTGAGGGAGCTCACTTAGCTCTGTGTAAGTATTCACTTTCAGAAAGTTAATACATGTATATGAATTTTGATGGACTCTCACAGCAGGAGTGTGCTGAAGGTAATAGGCACATGAAGGTACTGGCTTTGCAGCTTGTCTGTTACTTTGCCTAGTCGGTGCAAAGTACTGGTTCACTTTAAACTAGGAGGCGCTAAGAGAATTTTAATCCTTTTTGATGGCTAATGCTCTTTCTCTCCCCCACCCTTCCTTCCTGTACTCCAGCTCGATATATTGATGTTGAGTCCGATTTCCACGCAAAGGTTCCTGTTGTATTTTGCAAGGATGAAAATAGGTAAGATGCCTTTATCAATCATTTAATAATAATGGAAAATATTTGAAGCAGAAGGTTCTAGTCACACTTTTTTTTGTAAAGAAACATATACTTAAAGGAATAAGAGGGCTGACCTCCCTTTCTGAAAAATGCTTGTCATGTGGCGGCCTCTGGCTTTAAGACTTTGACTTGCTGACCTGGCATATAGTAAGTAAAGCTCTTGATCTGCATACATGTCTCCAATCAGTTACTCAAGAATACTGTAGGTTGGGGAGGGAGGTTTTTATTGCTGAAAAAGAAAGTGCCATCCAAACTGGTACGTAAATCATATCTTAATAGTATCTCCGACTCAGTTGTATAAAAGTGTGGATTATAAACCTAAATATACTAGAACACGCAAAAAAAAATGGTAGTTGACTAGTTTTTTTGCACTAGTCAACTGCCATTTTTTTTTGCGTGTTCTAGGTTTTTATTGCTGTCTGTGTCCCCGCTGAAGAGATTCACCCATCTCTATCTGACATGGTGAATTTTATCAAAAAGACAGTAAGTGTAGGTGTTTCCAGGATACCTACACTTTTTGTAGCTGCTGACTTTTAATAAACACAAAAACAGCTGGAAGTCTGAATTAACTTAGTCTCAAAATACCAACCTAATCGCGGTCTTTTGTTCCTCCCAAGACCTGCTCTCTAGCTCCCTTGCTTGCCTCTACGACTTCTCCCGAGCCTCACCCATTCTCTGGAACTCCCTAGCTCAGTCTGTCCGGCTATCTCCTATTCTGTCCACTTTTTTTTTCTATGACTTTTAACTAAAGGTTTTATCGCTTTACATTCAACAAAACCAAACTAAACAAACTCTGTCCACTTTTAGATGATCCCTGAAAACCCTTCTCTTCTGAGAGGCCTATCCTGCCCCCACCTACATTTATTTTCTCCATCAGCTCATCCCCCACAGTTATTACCTTTTTGTATCTCTTGACCCTCCCTCTTAGGTTGTAATCTTTAATGAGCAGGGTCCTCTGATCCCTCGTGTATTAAACTGTATTGTAATTGTACTGTCTACTTTGATGTTGTAAAGCGCTGCGTAAACTGTTGGCGCTATATAAATCCTGTATAATAATAATGATAATATTAATAGTCCTACCTTTATGGTGAAATCAGATTTTTTACTTTACTACTACTTTAAAACTGAACGTCAGGGAGATATAAAAGATAAATAAATAAATACATGTCTGTAATCATTTATGCATCTTTAAATGTATTTTTCAAATGTCAGTTTGTAAGTTCTTGAATTTGGGTGGTATCAGTCTCTTGCAGGGTATTGTACAGTCTGTACAGTAGAGCTCAGAGTAGGGGTAAGGAAAAGTAACACAAAGGGGCCGATCAAGTGTTGCTAGAGTACAAGGAGCATGCTGATAGGAGAAGAGAACAGAGTGACAGAAAAATGAGTGCATCAGTATGCTGCTTCTCCTTTCACTGTTCAGTCACAGGGTGTAAGTGTGGGGAGGGGTCCTGTATGTAAACGTGAAACTGCAGTGGAGATAAAGTAGGCCACCTTCCCTGACAGGTAGGGCTGTGCTATGGAACAAAGCTGTATAATTCTCAGGAATGAATGAGCACAAATTGTTTAGCAGATTAAACAGCCCTTATATTTGTATTTCATCATTGTATTTAGCCATGTACATCGTGTTTAGCTTCAATATTTCTGAATGTCATTTGCATTGTGTTATAAATTGTATTCAATTCATTCATTTTTTTCTAGTGAGTTAACATGCAAAGTGAGTGCTGGAAATGACACAGCGTGCCTTACCACTGAATTACTGGCAGCTGTTGGCAGAACTAGAGCCTTCTCTCATTACCTTGGTCATGGCGTTCCGCTACTGGGCCAGGGTAAGTATATATTTTGATGAAAAGTTTGGGTTGTATTTGCTATTTTTGATAAATGGACTGTTTTTCCCCCAAATAATTAGAACCATAGTCTATCAAGTTAAAACAAGAGAAAAAAAATAAATACCTAAACCTGGCATCTTCAGAACTCTAAACTTTCTGTTGATCCATAGGAAGACATTTAACACTTATAAACTTTGAAACTGTTTGCTTTATCTGTAAAACAAAATTCTTCTTGACCCCTAAATGCAATGCAGCCTGAATGAACAATCTACAGTGTTATTTGGTGCATACTGTATATTGTTAGCCTGTCATACTTTTTTCACTTAGAAATACATGTGACAGGAAAGCAGTTTGCAAGCATTCAGGAGGTGATTCTGCTGCCTCCTAAATACATGTTGTTTTAAATGGGATTACTCTGCCACAAAGGTTGCAGTGCAGTCCCATTGACTTCTTTAGGGTGATCATGACAGGTGGTGCTACAACATGTTTACACTTCCTTCTGGCTGTATGTTATCTTTTAGATGGGTGGTTGGGAAGAGGTAACACTACAGCTCAGATTCTTGCTTATATTGCCCTCTTCTCTCTTATCTAAGGCTAGCCATACACAATTCTTTTTTTTTTTTTTTTTTTTTTTTTTTTTTGTTTAACCTCCCTGGCGGTATTCCCGAGTGTAGCTCGGGGTAACATTTCAGTACCAAAAGCGGTAACCCCGAGCTACACTCGGGAATACCATGCGGCACTGCTCCGGCATGTGTTCTTCACTTACCTTACCCTGCGCTCCCGCGATGTGTCCCTGCAGCGTCCCCGGCCATCTCCTCCGGCCGATGCCGGCATCCGGCTTCTGTGTCCTGTCCCTGTGACGTCGGGACGTACGGGCGCCGCCGCCGCCGGCGGCGGGAAATTTAAAAATTTTAAAAAATGTCATTTTTTTATTTTTTTTTCATTTTACACAGTAAAACATTGCTGTTTCAACCTATTTCACATACATATTGTCCCTAGTGCTTTGTCCTGCGCCCTGCCTGCATTTTGTCTGTTCTTTCTGCCTGGAAACTGAGAAATGTCCATGGCGTCCAAAAAGTGTCCCTTTAGGTCAAAAGCGGTTTAGATCAGCTAGAGAACAGCGATAGTAAATCAGAACCACTTACAGAATTGAGTGATAATGATTCGTGGGGGAAATTCGTCATCAGAAACTGAAAACGATTTTGCGACTGAGCTCAGCGATGTGTGAACTTGGCGCTCTATTTCACATTTCAGTGTTTTTGGTTTGATTATATTTTTGAATTAAATTTTTTATTATTTTTATATTATTTTTATGATTATTTATTAAATTATAATTTATGATTTTGTGTTTCAAATTTTATCATACCCGGGATGTTTACTAGACTCTTGTTCGGACAGATTTCAGTGAGTTTTTCCTAAAAATTACAGCCTACAATAAAAAAAAATACATATTTCCATGCAAAAAAATGGTACCGCTTTCAGCACCAAAAATCTGAAATAATCATACCGCCAGGGAGGTTAACCAGCAGGTTGATTGAAAAATAAAATTCGATCGAATGTGCGGATGGAGGAATCCTTCCTGCGATGGGAGCCTTCCCCGCTATCAGAATACACTGATCAGTGTTGCTGGCTATAGTGACTGGCACTGTTCATTATGGAAAAACCTGGCAGGCTGGTTGTACAGAAGTTGATAGATCGACTTCTGTAAAACCAGCTAGCCCATACATGGATCGAAATTCGTCTGGTCCCTCCTGATCAACTAAATTTCAATCCATGTATGGCCATATGTGGAGGATAAACATCTTTTCTTCCATATACAAAGAGTACACCGTTTTCTTTCGTAATGAGCAACTTTGTGGCAAGTTTAGTATTAAGACCATTTGTGTATTACAGAATCAAATGGTTTCTTTATGGAGTGCTTTGTGTGCAAAGATTGCAATAAGCTAAATAGCAGATGTTTCACTCTTTTGCCAAAATGATGGCGGGCTGCAGTGTTGATGCATGCGGACACTGTGGACCTGTTTCCTCTACAAGCATTAACACACTGTGATAATGTTATTTAGAGGAAGCTGATCTCTTGATGTGTTTTTAAAATGTGTTGAATGTGCTATACATTCCCTTTAAGGGCTGGTTCACAGCAGATGCTTTCCAGTGCATTTTTAAACTGCATCCAGACTGCATGCACATTGTTTGCCATTTATCCCAATGGCCCCAGTTCACGCCAGTGCAGTCAATTCCAGCGCTTTCAACAAAAGTACAACATGCTGCATTTTTACGCCCAGATTGCATCAAAATGCATGTAAATGCACTGCAATGCACATGGTCCTAATGAAAATATTTTTCAAATGTCAAACTACAAAAAGGAAAGAAGAAAAAAATAAGCACCAGACTGCATTGAAAACTCATCTAAAAGGCATGTAAATGTGCATGCAAAAATACATCTGGAATGCTGAAATTGTGGTGTGAACTTGTGCTAATGGTCAACACAAAGCACTGACTGGATTAGAGGAAATCACTAATTTATATAATTGTTATCTTGTTTATCTTTTCCAGCTGTGTCACATAGACTGCCAAGCAGAAGGGGGGATCCCTTCTTACTCTTTTGCCTTAATGGTGGTATTTTTCCTCCAAAAAAGACAGCCACCAATCCTTCCGACATATCTGGGATCCCGGGTAAGCCACAGTCAGAATGGATTTTTCCGTGTTGTCTCTTCCTTTAATTTTTTGCAAGTTATGTACACTGTACTTTAAGGCCTCATGCACACTGGACATTTTTATTAGCTCTCCTAGAAGCCTTCCTCCTAGCAGCAGCATTTTGGCAAAAAAAAAACCTGACGCTTGTAAAGTTGTGTAACGTGTTTACCCTGTCAAACATTTGGGTGTTTATTTCATTGGCCAGAATAAATTATTTATTCTGGCCTTTGAAATTAATTAACGCTCATGTGCTAAACACGCCTGGCGTTAATGCAGTTACATGCATTAACGCAAGTCTAGCAGTTTTTTTTTTTCTCTGCCAAAACTCAGCTGCTCTGGACGCACTAGCAGTGGGTTTTTCTTTCTCCTGCCTCTAAACGCCTCCAAATGTTTGTGTGTATGAAAACATAGGCTAACATGCACAGCAGTTTAGAGGAAGGAAAAAAAAGTGCCAGACACCCCTAGGAGCAGCTGTAGATATTTCCAGTGTGCATGTGGCCTTACTACTTGTTTAGTACATCTGTTAACAAAACTGCAGTACTTATATGTACTTACTTGTATACAACTAATCGTATAGTTAGGGCCTCTGCAAATTTTCCTTTTGAAGTTCCCCTTTCATCTCTTGCACCATTTATTGTTTTGGTCAACAGATAGTGAGACTGCAAGCAATAAGCAATAGTTTTCTGGGGAAATCACAGGGATGAGGCTTTAGGAATTTTCTACCAGGACAGTGTAATATTTTGGGCTGGAGATCTTTTTTTAAATTACACCAGTTAATTGCTGCTAAAAGGCAAAATAAGCCTACAACTGTATAGCAGACACTCTTCAGGGCCACTTCTTGCCATTACTGGGGTTGATTTACTAAAGGAAAATAGACTTAGCACTTTGCAATGTACAGTTGCACTCTGCAGGAGCAGTTGCTCCAGAGCTTAGTAAATGAACAGATGCTTTGCTGACTTCCATCATCTAATCACATGGAAGCAAAGATGCTTTTTTTTTTTTTTTTTATTTTCCCTGCAAGCGTTTAGGTATTCTTTGAAAAGTGAAGCTGTACCTCATTTACGAAGTTCTGGAGCAACTGCACTTTCAGAGTGCAACTGCACTTTACAAATTGCAAGGTATATTTGCCTTTACTAAATCAACCCCACTGTGTCTGCCTCTCCAATGGATTGCTGCAGCAAATTTTCTGCATGCCCCCTCCCATCCTACACTTGGTACGTGCACATCCAATCACCTGGCCCAATCACTGTAGGTAAGGAGAGCTTTCTAGTTCTATGCAAATGTCACCGTACAAAAAATCAAGTGTTGTATAGGCTCTTTAGGCACGCTAAAGGTAAGATATGGTACGGAAGGTGGGGGATTCATATTTTTATAGGTTTACCTTAAAAATATATTTTTTTTTTTAGCATGAAACATATAGGAAAGATGCCGCATAGGTTCCACTATCTTTAAATAAAATCAAAGCATAACATTGAATATAAACTAAGAAGGACAATCACATCAAATTTTTTCTAAGTGTATCTGTCATAAATTCCAACAAGCATATGGAGGTATTTTACATATGGTATATGCCTGTGACAAAATCAGACCCTTGCAGCCACATATCACTGAGTTTATTTTCCCAGCATTTGGCATACCCAACATTTAAGTTCAGAATGGTGCATTTTAGGTATGTTTGGTGAGCTGGTTCTTAGCACTTCCAAAAAGGTTTTCCACATTTTCTCCGCTTTTAAGCAAAGGAAACGAGTGTTAAATTGGACATCCAATTCTATTAAACAACAAGGACTGGAAATGACTAGTTAAAGCTTTGCCTCTTTATAGTATAATTTTTGAGGCCTGATTGTGCAATACTAGGTTTGCTAAAATCTTGGGAAAATGGGTCCGTTGTATTAATTCCTGTGAACATCAGACTTTGGTGTGGTGTTTCCATCCTTGATACCATCTACAAAATAGCACTCATATGCATGTGTGCACCTTGTATGCCTTCCCTGAACAATAATGACTGAAACAAAATAAGTAGTTGAAGGATCTTGCTTTTATTGAAAGATATTGGTTTCAATGTACAATTATTACTATTTCTAGACATATATAAAATGCACTCTTTATTTATCAGTGCATGTGTGTATTTGTTTCATTCCTATGTCTCTCTTTCCTCTGTATAACATACTGTATATAGGTGTACCAGAACCTGTGCATTAAACTTATACAAATTTTAAAAATATGTTCTGAGTGTCTGCTTTAGTAGGTCAACTGGATTACATTATAGTTTACCTCCCAGTGACACAAAGTAAGTCAGAATTGTTAATAGGTTCTGTTTGTAGATGGCTCTAGAAAAATATTTTGTGTCGTTCTTGTTTAAATTTGTGGGCAGGTTCAATTAGGATCCTGTATTGGTATCAGTTTAGTGTGTATGTATCGGTTTTAAGTCTGTTCTGTTTAATGTGTCATTTGTCTTGAACCGCTGTATAATATTTTTTTTTTATTTTTATTTACCATCCTTTTGGGCAATAGATAGAAGGCTTTGAGTCTAAGAGGCTGGATGATTACCATCTAAAGGGCATTTCTGAAGACAAATATGTGGAATGGGAATACAGGCCAGTCAGCAATGATAACAAGAACTCTTCAGGAATGGACGGGAGGGGAAGAGCTGAGCAAAACCACAGAAGAGCAGCTGCATTAGAAGCAGAGAGCAGGAGAAACAAGGAGAAGATGGGAAAGGTGAGTTTCTTCACTCTCGGGAGAGGAATTTATGCAAGGATACCACTGTAGATAATATTATCCTTTGCAAGTGTGTCTGCTGGGTTAACAGGACATCTTTGACACCTATTTGAAAGTCATACTTCCAGTACTTCAGATTCTTGTCCTTTATCTGCTCTACGTGGTTTAATAGTAGTCTATAGAAAACTTCTATAAAAGTAATGACTTGGGCTACACTGTGTAGGACAAAAACAACTTTTCCTTAAAGGATACGGTAACTTTTTTAAGAAAAAAATAATAAATGCATATATTTTTGCAGAAAAAACAATGTGCATTTATTATTTTTTTCCGCAGGAGCCTGGAAAGCATTGCACCCGTGATCAGTGGATTACGGGTGCAGTCTCAGGCTTCTGTATGCAATCCCTGCAGTTTACAGCCCATACTACAATACAGGCTGTCTGTTTGAAAGCTGCAGGGCTTGTGAATGAACAAGGGCACTCATCAGTGCCTCCAGAATTTATTAAGAACTACAAGCCATCAGAAGCGGTGGATGACAGTACTTGTAGTTCATTCATTCACAGGAATCTGTGAATGAATGATGCAGCCGTGTGGGCAGAGCCCCGCACGGCCACTCTGTTTTTGAATTGTGACAGCGAGTTGCAGGGAGAATATGCTTGGCCACTGTTACATGAAGAGGGGGATCAGGGGGGATCGGCAGCAGGAGCTGAAACATGTTACATGTTCCATCCTAAATACAGAGGAGACATGAAACATGTTCCAAAAGTTAAACTTGGCCTTTAAAATTCTGTGATGTAAACAGTTGTTATCTTGTAATCTAATTGAAATCTCACATCTTTTTATCGACCTCTAGCCATGCATGTTCTGTTTTCTGACTGATTTTCGCTTGGAAAAGTTTTAAATTACCCTTTTCTCTTGGTGAAATTTCTGCTTCCTGCACTTACACTGATGTGGCCTGTGCTCGCAGAGCTGAGTAACAGCCATACCTCTCAACACAAGCATCTTCACACAGACCTGTAGAGAAGAGCAGGAGGCATATCTGATCCGGTCTGTGTGAATTGCTGATAGCACCAGATCTTTTCTGGTGCCTTTTGGACTGCAAAGTCATAATTAAATACCCTGCCCAGCTGAAAGAGGAAAAGGGAGATAAGACTATGAAATTGAGGTTGTTAGTACAGTATCTAGAGCCGGCCAAAGATGGAGCAATTTTCTTTCCTGTGACCATGGGTTGGAGGAGAAAAAATTGCTCGATTTCCCCAATCAACACGGTCGGGGTTGATGGGGAAATCCCTCCCTCAGAGCCATTGTATTCTCCCCCCCCGCCAGAAGAACACAGTGATTACTGCTAGCGGCTATAATAGCTATAATAGCCGCTAGCAAGAATTGTGTGTAAAATCCGAAAGGCTGGTTGTACCTAAGTTGATCGATCAACTTGGATACATTCAACCTGCCCATACATTGTTCGAATCTCGGCCAGTTCAGCAGGGAACCATCTATGGCCAGCTTTAGTGCATATCTATTTATGTGAATTCAATTGGGCTTTTAAAGAATACATTTCTGTTAACAGACTGATGGGTACAGCATACTTTTTGATGAACACCAAAGCAGAAAGGAACTGTTTCTCTCATTGTGGGCTTTGCCCCTATGCATCTCATTGAGATCTCAGTTTTAGCCTAATATCTTAGATGGTAGGACATTGCAGTTTTCAATTTAGGTTTGGGTTCAAGAAGACTGTTAATGGACTTAAAGTAGAAGTTTAGGGTAAACCTAACTAAGGCTAAACCTACTCCACCCCCGTTCTAAGGCTGTTTTATCTAATCCCGTAAAAAAAAGATCTGTATACTTACCTATTCTGAAGACACAATAGTCCAGTCCCAGGATTAGCTGTCAGTGGCAGCTTCTGTGTTGAGAGACAGCCAACAACAGATGCCCCATAGTAAGCCTATGGGTCACATCATCTCCTAGGCATTTTGCGCCATTTTCTGCGATCTCTCCTCTACACAGAAGTTGCTGCTAGAAACCAGACCGGAGCGGCTTCAGAATAGGTAAGTATACAAATATGTTCTTTACAGGGTTGGATAGAATAGCCTGAACGTTCACTTTAAGTGTTTCCACTGACCAAATGGTTCAACTGATAGCAGCTGTTGGTAGCAAGTACCTACAGGTGCAATGATTTCCTTTTTTTCATGGAGTCCAGGGTGCCCTGGGAGCCTCTAAACCTGGGGCACTTTGGTTTACAGATAGCAACTTTAGGAAATGGAGTTAAACTTAGGCTCACTCGTTTCTCATTATTTGTCACTGCAAACAGAACCCTCACTGACCGTTAACCCATCGAAAGAGTGGCAGATCTTCTGTAAATAAAGTCACTATTTGAATAATATTGTGCTCTGGAGCTCCCAGTACATGTTCACTGTAAACTTTAGGGTTTTAAAAATTATGTTGTCATATAGCTTTAAAGCACCCTGGTCTTCTGTTTACAGTGCCGCTTGGTGTTTGTGCGGCCTCACCATGTATCCCTTGGGCAGCTGTGGTTGGAATTGCTGAGATTTTACACGCTGGAGTTTGCAATTGAAGAATACGTGATTAGCGTGCGAGTAAAAGGTCTCCTAAGTAGAGAAACCAAGAATTGGCCAAAAAGACGAATAGCCATTGAAGGTAAGATTTAAACTGTGCAGATATTTCTATTGCTGTAGTGAAGATACACTTTATTGCCAAAAGTATTGGTACGCCTACCTTTACACGCACATGAACTTCAATGGCATCCCAGTCTTAGTCCGTAGGGTTCAATATTGAGTTAGCTCGCCCTTTGCAGCTATAACAGCTTCAACTCTTCTGGGAAGGCCGTCCACAAGGTTTAGGAGGGTGTCTATGGGAATGTTTGACCATTCTTCTAGAAGCACATTTGTGAGGTCAGGCACTGATGTCGGACGAGAAGGCCTGGCTCGCAGTCTCCATTCTAATTCATACCAAAGGTGTTCTATCAGGTTGAGGTCAGGACTCTGTGCAGGCCAGTCAAGTTCCTCCACCCCAAACTCACTCATCCATGTCTTGGTGGACCTTGCTTTGTGCACTTGTGCGCAGTCATGTTGGAACACGAAGGGACCATCCCCAAACTGTTCCCACAAAGGTGGGATCATGAAGTTGTCCAAAATGTCTTGGTATGCTGATGCCTTAAGAGTTCCCTTCACTGAAACTAAGGGGCCAAGCCCAACCCCTGAAAAACAGCCCCACACTGTAATCCCCCCTCCACCAAACTTTACACTTTGCACAATGCAGTCAGGCAAGTACCATTCTCCTGGCAGCCGCCAAACCCAGACACATCCATCGGATTGCCAGACAGAGAAGCGTGATTTGGCACTCCAGAGAACACATCTCCACTGCTCTAGAGTCCATTGGCGGCGTGCTTTACATCACCGCATCTGCTGCTTTGCATTGTACTTGGTGATGGAAGGCTTGGATGCAGCTGCTCGGCCATAGAAACCCATTCCATGAAGCTCTCTACGCATTGTTGTGCTAATCTGAAGGCCACACAAAGTTTGGAGGCCTTTAGCTATTGACTCTGCAGACAGTGTGCGACTTCTGTGCACTGTGCTTTTCAGCATGTGCTTGCCCCATTCTGTCAATTTATATGGCTTACCACTTCATGGCTGAGTTGCTGTTGTTCCCAGTTGCTTCCACTTTGTTATAACACCACTAACAGTTGACCGTGGAATATTTAGTAGTAAGGAAATGTCACAGATGGACTTATTGCAGAGGTGACAACCTATCACGGTACCACGCTTGGAGTCACTGAGCTCCTGAGAGCGACCCATTCTTTCACAAATGTCTGTAGAAGCAGTCTGCATGTCTAGGTGCTTGCTTTTATACACCTGTGGCCATGGAGGTGATTGGTGTACCTAAATCCAATGATTTGGAGGGGTGTCCCAATACTTTTGGCAATATAGTGTATGTCTGGAAACAGGAGTAAATAATTCCTTTGTACCTAGCTTAATTTGCTGATGTAATTCGGAACACACTTCAAGATTGCACTATTTTCCAAATGTCTTAGCCAGTTGAAAAACTAATCATGACAGGGATTCTGTCTATTGGACCACAATAAATGTTGTTTTCAATGGTCTGCATGAACACAATTTAAAAAAAAAAAAGGAATAGCTCTGATCAAGGGGAATTTACATAGGGAAACCTTTACCATCAGCATAGTCTAAATACGCTTTATTATCTTTACTACTTAGCTTAAAGCTGCCTTTTGGCCAATTTATCATTAGGGGGCCCTATATCCCCAAGTTTGGGGATAGACCCTGCCAGAAAGGGTAAGCCCTACACATACATAGTCCAGTGAGTTTGTCCATATTGGCTACTATGTCTTTTCATTGAATATTGGAACAATTGGAGGTTATTTATACAGCCTAAGGGCTTCCTAGGTACACAGGTGACTTTTTTAAAGAGATTTAAGTACCAATTACCTTGTGTGTCCTGTTAGGCCAGATGTTTCATTGTTAAACAAGTGGCAGGTTAACAGTAAACATGCAAGGACTTAATTCGCTTGCCATGATTGAACATTTTAGTGTAATTTCTTGTATGCTACAGGAAATCATTTTTTTCTGCACACACATTCTATCCTGTAAATTGGATAGAAAGAAATACTGTAGGAAACAAAGAGGTGGAAGAGTCCAGTATTTTCCAACTATAACTGAAGTATAATATTTGGATGAAGTGACCCTTTTAATATTTTTTAAAATATTTTCTATCCCTAGATCCTTTTGCACTGAAGAGGAATGTTGCAAGGAGCCTTAACAGCCAGATGGTGTACGAGTACATTCTAGAGAGATTCCGAGCGGCATACAGATATTTTGCCTGTCCACAAAGCAAAGAGGAGAACAAATCCAAAGTGGATGATGAAAAGAGGGAGAAGAGCACCGGCCAGGATATATCTACATCTGAAGATCAAGTTGATAATGGTAGTCTCCCAGAAGGAGAAATGGGCATAGACCAGGATGGTGGGACAGCAGAAAGCTGCATTGCGGGGTTAGAGCCCAAGGGGGGCGAATTAGATAGTCTTTCGGACAAGGTCGCTAAGGCCATGCAAAGGCTGTGTGTACATGGCGATGAGGCAGTTCATTCTACCTCTTCTTTAGATTCTTGTGAACTAGATATACTTCCTTTTTCAGAGACAGACCAGACATCTGCACTCTTGGAGGATAAAGGGAGCAAAAACTGTAATGGACAAAATTCTACAACTATTAAGGATTTACATGATACTACTGAAGTAAAGTGTGCGTCAGACGCAGTCAGTTCTCTGGACGAATCCTGCTCTGACGGCTGCACTTCTGCTACCTCGCACCGTCACATGAAGAATGAAGGAAGCCTTAGTGAGGATGAGCTGTATTATGTGTTTGATAAGCTTATATTGACTTCTGGAAAGGTAAGAGGAAACGTGTTCTACATGTCACAAGCTAACCACTAAGGACAAGTTGTCTGTTTATTCACAGCAGCTGTCACAGTTACATTGACTTATTTTGATTAAAAAAAAAATTACTGCAGATACATATGCACTTGCAACAGCCTCCAAAGCCCACTGTAATGTCTAACTGTCAAGCTGTTTTAAGAGACTTAAGCTGCGCTACACAAAAGCTTGCCCATCTCATCCTGCGGCTGGCTGGAAATCTCTGAGCTTTGTCTGTTTAAAAGGCCCACACTTTGACTGCAACAATTTTAATTATTATGGATGAGGAAGGGCCACACCATAAATACTGCTGTCATGGGTGCACTGTCATTGTAAATGGTACTCCAATGTACCTTCATAATACACCTGCATTGCGGTGCACTTCAGTACGTGGTAGCACATTATTGTGTACAGCTTTACAGTGCATTGCACTAGCCAAGTGATACTTGAGATCTGTTTTGGTGCCCTTTCTCCAGACTAAGGGGTCATTCACAGCAGTCGGGTTTATTGCAGTGTGTTTAGCGCATGTGATAAAGCAACCCTGTCACCAGCTTAAATAAAAAATGTGCAAACGCAGAAAAATCAAGTTTTTAAATGCTTTATTGCAGCGTTTTACTTATTTGGAATATATTTATCATTAACTTGCAATTTCAGCATATGTGACCTTATGCTTACATTGTGTTTGGAGGCTGAGACAGAAATTTTTGGGGGATTAGTTTACGACCTGGTTCACCATTGACCTTGTTAATTTATGAGGACCAATTGCCCCGCTACAGCACTCTAGCCTTTCTGGAGTTGAGATCATTATGGTGAGGTTGTGGTCACATACCCCTAATTTGGCCCCCTAGGAACAGCAATTTAAACTGTTGGGATTTGGTGTGTGTGAAGTGGTGATCCGGACTTGGCATTTAAGACAACAGTGGGTGAAGGGTGTAGGTTTTACATTTTGTTCTAACTTTTATATTTGTGGGTTTTGTGCAGTAATATGTTTTTCATACTAGAATGCTTCCGACTATTTTAATACATAAACTACACTGCATGGATCTCCCGATGACTGATCTTTCTCTGTGGGTTCTTATAATAGAATATCAACCAAAAATCCAGAAAAAACATGATACAAATGTTATAAATTGAGTTGCTGTTCAGTGAGTAAAATAAGTATTTGATCCCCAAGCAAAACATAACTTAGTACCACATGAGCCAGAATTATGGTTGGTTGGTCAAATACTTATTTTACTGACTGAACTACAACTCAATTTATAACATTTGTATCGTGTTTTTTCTGGATGTTTGGTTGATATTCTGTCTTTATCATTTAAAATACACCTAAGATAAAAATTATATAGCCTTCATTTCTTTGTAAGTGGGCAAACTTACAAAATCTGCAGGGGATTAAATAAATATTTTCCCCACTGTATATCTCACCAATATATGTATTTTTTTTTTTTAATTTTTTTTTTAACTTTAAAAGTGCTGCAAGTACAGAACATTGTCCTCAGAAATCCTTTGAACTAACTTCTTATAGTAAGCTGACAACGCTACCTCTGCTGCATTGAAACTCCAAGTTAATCTTGGCTGAGTCCTCCCCTATGGCTTGGGCCTAGAGAGCACCTCCCCTTTTACTATGGTGATGAGGAGAGGGGGGTATTTGTAGTAAACTCTTAGAAAATGAAGCAACTACCTTGTGGTGGGGCTCCCCCTGCACTGGAACGGGTAAACACTTTCTTTGCCTAAGGTATCAGTAAAAAGCTCTTATAATGCCTCATTCTTCAGGCAGCTGGCATTCACCTGCTCTCTGTGACACTCAGGCTTGTAGGTGGGTCCTCAGCATCCTTACTTCCGTTGCTGGACTGGCGGTCTTGCAATGTGATAACATCATGGCTGCAATCGCCAACCAGAGCTTCAGAGAGAAGAGACTGACGTTGACTAGTTGAATAGAAAGATGAGTCCTAAGAGAGCGAGGGAATAAGTAAATGTGCTTCTTACCAGTACCATAGGCATTTAACACAGTGTGGGGGATTCACTCAAGGATATATTTACATTTAATTTCCTGGAGTTCAGCTTTAAGGTTTGTAGCAGTGAGGAGGTGGCTTTTGGAAAGAGGGATGAACTATAACTAATGTAGTTCTAAACCTAAATCAGCCTGACCGATAAGATATTTTAAATATTATGGAGACTTTTTAAGCAATGCTTTCCTTTCCTATCCTTACAGCCTCCCACCATAGTCTGCAGCATCTGCAAGCGTGATGGACACTCCAGGGATGACTGTCCTGAAGATTTCAAAAAGATTGATCTGAAACCCCTGCCCCCAATGAACCCCAGATTCCGGGATATACTGGACAGAGTCTGCAAGAGGTGCTATGGTAGGGTGCTTATTGTTACAGTATTACTGGGCTCTAGTTTAACCACAAGGGATAGATGACAGATTATTTTTGAAATGTTATTTCAAGCATCCCTAGAATAGGGTGATTATTCCTTTATTCATATTAGTCTCTTCCTTAAGACAGATTGAACAATATACTGAATTTAGGTGCTAATTTATAAAGTCTTTAGGAGATGGTGGCCATAGTAGTCAGTGTTCTGTAACCTGTACCTGTGTGGTACCCGGAATAATGATTGCTAAGAGAAATATTCATTATAACTTGTGTAAGTAAAAAAACATTTGTTGACATAATGTGCTGCCATAACAAGCGTTTATTGAACCATTCCTTTGGTATGTTGTAAGTGACTGTACTCCATTTTAAAGCAGAAAAACACAATTTTTTTTACTGTCAGTAGAAGAGAGAGATTGTGTCTCCAGTTCTTCATCTCCCCTTTGAAGTCTTTACTTAGTGACTGGATTTGTGAGGATTACCGCCATCATGCAACCGCTTTCATTCCTAGTGGGCTGTCCTAAACACCCACCACACGTCTCAGGGAAAAAAAAAAAAACACATCTTCACTTTGCACTATGTTGTGTTTGGCCATAGCAAAGGGCATTAAATTTGTTATACTCCCAAGTTCTACACTGCCACTTGACCCCAGCAGCTTTGAGCCACTGCATTTGTGCATCTCGGTGACCTAAAGGCTACTCCTTGCTCAAAGCCAGTTTAGAGAAATTAGCTGCAGAGTGAAGATAGAGTGCTGTTTAGAGCTCTAGATTTCTAGAGAACAATGACTTGGGTGGGTGGTGGTATATGTTTAATATGAATGTGGCGTTCAGCTTTGAAAAGACTCTGTCACCAAACTAACCACTGCAGGTGCAGAAAAATCAAGTGTTTTAGATGCTCACTTGCAGTGTTTTTCCATTCAGTAATTTTTTTATTCATTTGCAATGTGTCTTTGAGCTTGCTAGAAAATGTGGCTACTCCAGAAGAAGTGAGCAAAGGTACCAGCAGGTATCTTTAAGTACCTCCTGTTTGGTAAAAATTTTTCATTTAAAATGGAGTACAAGTTATACCTTCAGTTAGAAAGCTAGTAAGTGATGCTTAAGTTGCAATGTTAATTTTTTTGCCTTTGCTGTGTTGTTTCTTATAGATGAACTTTCTCCAAGTGCTGTTGAGCAGCATAATCGGGAACAGATCCTTATTTACCTGGAGAGGTTCATCCGCAAAGAATTCAATAGTGAGTATGGTTTTGAAAACTCCTAGAGACCAATCCCATTTGTGCAGGGTAGAACTAGGGTTATGACTATAAATAAAAAAAGCATACGATAAAAAAGGCCTTATTGTTAATTTCCTTAGCACTGCAACATTTTAAGGCTGACTGCACTGAACGTGGCCAGTTCCACCCAATTGTTGCTGCCATTACAAAGCTAAATGATAACATTGTGTTGTTCTAATATAATTGTGATTACTCCAGCCAATGAAGACAGAAACCTTTAATAATCCTATGTTGCTTAGAAGCTCTGAACTTTGAAAATAATGAGGGTAGATTTTTGTGCTGTAATTGTAGCTATTATTGTACTCTGTAAATCACCTCTTTGACCAAGCCCCGGAGACCACATGCAATCACCAACATTTCTAGAGCACCGGGTTGACTTGAGCCTGATCCCATTTTTGCACGCCTTACACTTCTGAATCAGTTGATAAATACCTTCTCCCATATACGAACACCGGCAGAGGGAAACTCTTATCCACTGGCTTTGAGCGGCATAACCTATGTAGTCTTTGTCATTAACTTGACATAAATTATTTGAATATATTGTGTACCTTTATCAAGATTTATATGTGCTTTTTAAATGACCCTAAACCCACATATAATGTATATTTACATTTCTTTTGCTGTCTAAAATGAACTGATAAAATTAATGGTGCATTTCCCACGGTCTTGCAGCTCTGCCTCCCTCTGCGTATTGGTGCAGGGACAAAGCTGCAGTGTTGGGTGGGATCTGTGTAAAGGCAAAGCTACTGATTGGGTAGGTACTTGGTCTGCCTGCACCAATGCCCTTTTCTGGACCAGTATCCAGAATAACCTTAGAGCCATAGACAGGTACAACCTGTTCTGAGTGGAACCTGTCCTGTTAAACCGCTGTATGGTCTTCGCCACCGTGCTGCAGCTCAGTTTCAGGGTCTTGGCAATATTCTTATAGCCTAAGCCATCTTTATGTAGAGCAACAATTCTTTTTTGTCAGATCCTCAGAGTTCTTTGCCATGAGGTGCCATGTTGAACTTCCAGTGACCACTATGATAGAGTGAGAACGATAACACCAAATTTAACACACCATTAATACCTGAGACCTTGTAACACTAACGAGTCACATGACATCGGGGAGGAAAAAAATGGCTAATTGGGCCCAATTTGGACATTTTCACTTAGGGATGTACTCACTTTTGTTGCCAGCGGTTTAGACAATAATCGCTGTGTGTTGAGTTATTTTGAGGGGACAGCGAATTTACACTGTTATACAAGCTGTACACTCACTACTTCACATTGTAGCAAAGTGTCATTTTCTTCATTGTTGTCACATGAAAAGATATAATAAAATATTTACAAAAATGTGAGGGGTGGACTCACTTCTGTGAGATACTGTAAGAATTGCACCACTGGTGTAGACAGCAGCAGGTTAGACAGCAGCAGAGAATGTAAAAGAAATATACTGACTTTTCATTTGCATGTTCCAAATAGGTAATGCCAGGCTGTGCTTGTTTGGTTCCTCTAAGAATGGATTTGGATTTCGTGATAGTGATCTTGACATCTGTATGACCCTTGAAGGCCACGAGAATGCTGAAGTAAGAATTTTTTATGTTTTTCACAAAAAATAAAACGGGAACTAAAACTCTGCACCCTCCCTAAACCCCACCCCGGTCTCTGCTTTTTCAACTTCTGTGGATGATGTATTTTTTACATACAAACACAGCTCAGGCCTACAGAATCTAAAAATATTCTACATCTAATTAATTGAACAGTTTATCAAATAAATTTGCTAAATGTGCTCAAATCCACAAATAAACCTAAAGCACGTCAGCAAATGCATGGGCAATAAAGAAATATATTGTACTGTGTCTTTTAGAAGCATCAACAATGTGCACCAATCACAATGGCCACAGTGTTCACAGTCCAAGCATATGTTCACTTCTTGTGACCATAAAAAGTGAATGAATAATTCCCACTTTCAGTATTGCATCCGTGCTTCACCTCTCTCTCAAGTAACTCAGCAAAAAATATGTGTGACCGCCTATATTTAAATAAGTAGGTCAATGCTTGTGTAATTTTTCTCCAGTGGTTTTCCCAGGTCTCCCATGTCTTCCTCCGATCAGGTGATTCTTCCTCTATGTACGTGATTCCCAGCATCCAGAGCAGACGATTTGCTGCTGCACCATAATTAACTACTACTTCTTATAGATTACCAGCAACTAGGCAGTTGCCTAGGGAGCAGCCCAGTCCAATAAAGAGGCCTACTACAAGCTGTACAAATTTGAGCAGTTTGTGAAAGAGCCGACTGTGCTCACAATACAGAAGAGGCAAGAATCTCCACAATAGGATATCTGGATTTGTTTTGGAGAAATGTGGCCTGATGGCAGATCGTGGAAAAAGAAGTTAATTATGGTGCAGCGAGTGGGCTGCCCTGGCTACTGGGAATCATCTACACAGGTTACCTGTTATGATTGGAGGAGGACCTGGGAGAGCCATTGGTAAAAAATTAGGCAAGCTTTGGCCTACTTATTTAAATATAAGATGTCAAATATTTTTGATAACTGAGCACTTGAGAGGAGAGAGGTGAGGCAGGGGTGCAACACTGAAAAGTGGAAACTATTCATTCACTTTTTATGGTCACAAGAAGTGAAGATATGCTTGGACTGTGGACATTGTGATTGGTGCACTGTGTTCATGCTTTTAAAGGCATAGTACAATATATTTCTTTATTGCACATGCATTGTTTGGCTGATTTAAGTATACTCTATGGATGAGCATATAACCTGGCACATCTCCCTTTATAATAATGACTTGTGATGTTTTTATTAGAGTTACTCTAAAATGTTCAGATACTCCTTAAAAGTACAATAGACTTATTCAAAAAGATATAAAAACACAGTGCACGTAAGTAATCCATTCAGGTCTGTGGAAATGTGTTATATAATACATAAAGAAAAAAAGCCTATTGTTTCAATCATGACGTGTTATAGATTTATGGTACATTTTATTGAGAAATAAAAACATTAAAAAGAAATGTACAATATGCTGTCAATGTTTTAGGGTATTTTGGAAGACTGATATGGAGCACTACCTCCTGAACAATTGAATCTCCCTTTTGTATGTATTAAAGAGAACAAGCTACAATTAGGCCTGGGCTTACCCTTTCCTCCTTCACAGTGTTATGTCATTAATACATTTTTGGTGCTATTTAAGTCAAAAAGCTTCTTATTTGCTTTAGCCTATTTCTTTGCCTTTGTATGACATAACTTGTGATTAGTACATTTTTTTATTTTATTTTTGGCCAATGTGTTCATTTTAGTATTAATGTTATTTTTCTTCTTTTAGAAACTAAATTGTAAGGAAATAATTGAAGGTTTGGCAAAAATTCTTAAAAGACACCCAGGTAATGTATGAGAAAAGTTGTTTGCTATTTATAACCGTTTCTTATTCTCTCAGAATATAAATAGAATCTAATTTATGCTTGTTCAGGCTTAAAGAACATTTTGCCAATAACAACAGCCAAAGTCCCCATTGTGAAGTTTGAACACCGAGAAAGTGGTGTAGAGGGAGACATCAGCCTGTACAACACACTGGTAAGTGGAAGAACATGTCATGTCTCAGATGCTTGGCTGTCATGATAACACTCATATTCTGTCACCACCCAGAAAAAGCATGCAGATCAGGACTTCTGACTTTTTCTCATTTTGCCCTGATCTTCATACTTGTCCTGCTCAGCGACTTCTAAAGTAGTAGGTCAGCATAATGACCAGACAACTAATATTTACAGGAGGAGGTCAGCAGTGGCAGCCTCCATAAATTTCTTATATGATATCATAGGTTAGTTTAAAAGTGAAGTTGCAGTTTCTTTGCTGAAATTGATTGTCTGTTATGTTTAGGCTCAGCACAACACCAGGATGCTGGCGACATATGCTGCCATCGACCCTCGAGTAAAATATCTGGGATATGCTGTAAAGTTTTTTGCCAAGGTAATTCATATGCTTTATCAACAAACTGATGAGTTCTAGTGTATGAAATGTTATACGTTTTTCCCCCAAATAGCAATTAAATCTGTATATTGTCAAAGTAATTTGTAGAGAGCGCCGATTTTGAATTGCCATTACCTTGTTTATCATATTATATTATTGTTTTTCATATGACTTTTTACAATCTTACTTTCCATATTTATGTTATTGATCGATGAACCATTCTCATCACTGATCTGCCTGCTTAAAGAGCATCTGTCACTTTGCTCATTCTGCCCATATACTTTTATCCTTTAATAGCAGGGGAGCACAAGGAAGGGAAGTATTGAATTATAAAGTGACAGATGCCCTTTAAAAAATGTGAAGGCCAACTCATAGACTTTACCTCTCATGTCACATTACAGTTACAGTTTAGTGATTTTTTTTTTTTTTTTTTAGTGAGGAAATATTTAAAGCATTTATTGAATATTTTACAATGACTTTTATATATTTATTTTGCATGCGCGTCCATATTTTTGTTACAGGGTTAAATATAGGTATTTGTAGATTGGTTACGTTGTTTGATAGGTTGTGCATCACAGCAAGTTAGGAAAAAGAACCTGCCCTCATATACATATATTACAAAATAAACATACAAAACATATCAAAACAAATAACATAGGGTGGTTGTTTATATCAAGCTTTTACGTAGTTAGCTAAATTTTAAACAATATTGTAATATTTTGGTTGAAAAGTTTAGTTACCCACCAGCCTTCTAGGAGTCAGCAAGTTAAGGAGCCAAGCAATACCTGATTCTGTCAAAAAAAAGTTGTGGATTAGATAATCCAGTTAGATGTGGATTAGATAATCCAGTGCCCTTCTGCACCAGCTACTATTTTAAGTGATCTGTTATAACAGAAGTGCATGAGTGCTGCTTCACAGGAATTAAAAAAGCATAAAAGAAAAATATTAAAAAATGCACCATACCCTTTGACCCAATATCCCAATGGTCCCAATGAACCAATACTGCTTGATTTGTACTACCAGAGGGTTAGGCTATGGAAGAGTTGTATGACAGGCCTGCCTCATTTTAGTAACTTAGAACAGCACTGTGATGCCATACTTTTCTACAGCTTAACCAGCTTAGATATACCACATACAAGAGGGGAAGAGTGCATTTCCACTTTAATAGGAACCGAGCGCAGGATTCTGATAAATATAGATGTTCTTCTTACTAGTCTCTGTGTTATTTTATCAGCGCTGTGATATTGGGGATGCGTCAAGAGGAAGTCTGTCTTCTTATGCCTACATCCTGATGGTCCTTTATTTCTTACAACAGAGAAACCCACCCGTCATACCGGTGCTACAAGAGGTAGGAGAGATGTCTTTTTTTAATCAGATGTATTTTTATTAAGGTTTTGATATGGTTCGCAGTAAAGAAACTATCAATTTTTGCTGGTAGGACTCCATATATTTGCAGCAGTACAGATATACATTCCCTGCAAGCATTTACCAGCCTGCTATCTCTAAAAGAGAAGTGCAGTACATAATAAATATTAAATATCTGCAATATAACATCTAAGCAATGATTAAAAAAAATATATTGCATTCTAGTCTTCCCATGGTTAAGTATCCAAATATCCTATTATATAATAGAGAGTAAGGGGAATAATATGATGATTAGATTAGGATCTCTGCTCAATAGGCCAAAAGGGCATTTCCGCTATAAAGAAAAAAAAAAGGTTTAATCAAGATCTTTCTTTAATACGTAGATATATGATGGGCAAGTTATTCCTCGGAGGATGGTGGATGGTTGGAACGCTTTCTTCTTTGATAACACAGAGGAATTAGTGAGTACTGCATTAAATTATGGAATAAAGTGAATTATTAGATATTATCCAAATTATCTAGTTAATTTATAGTGTGATAGAGTTGTTCTGATAAATATATTGAGCAGGCAGATCTTGTAGGCTTCAACAATATAGAATAGGTCTACTTGAATGTGACAAACTACTACTATCTATACCATGACTTGGATAAGTGAGTCGTATTTTATTATTTTTATCTTAAATTACTCCAGTGGGGGCACAGCAGCATAATTCAGGGGAAACTTTATACTAGCCTTACTCAACCTTTTTAACACAAAGATACCCTTGAAATAACTTTTCAGTCTCAGGGAACCTCTGCTAATAATTACTATATCTACTATATCTATCAAAGAATGCTCATTACTCTTGAGACCAGTAGGAAGAATCCATCCATTACAGATGGCTAAAAAGATCATTGGTGTCAGTGGTTGCTTATCTGAGAAGTAAAAATTGCTCAAGGAACCGCTAGCAACCTCTGAAGGAATGCTGATTGAGAGAGGCTGCTTTAGACCATTTGTGTGAGGTCTCTGTTAATATGTACAAATTGTTGTGAAAGGAAATCTCCCTAGTTGGGATGCAGACAGTCAGGGAATTGACAGGTTTTCATGCTTCCTTTTTCTAATCAGACAGAGGTTCTTATCCATTCTAATTCTAACCAAGACCTAAATTATTAATTTTGACTGTAATTGCACTTTCATATTGGAGTATGTTGTCTTACAGAGATGCCGGTTTCCATTCCTGGGGAAGAATACTGAGTCAGTTGGAGAACTTTGGCTCGGATTTCTTAGGTTCTACACAGAAGAATTTGATTTTAAGGAATATGTTATCAGTATCAGACAGAAAAAATTGCTAACCACATTTGAAAAGCAGTGGACGTCTAAATGCATTGCTATAGAAGGTGTGTGTGTGTAACTGTGCTTACCTTTATATATTAGTGACAAATGTGTACTATTCTGTGGAACTGATTATAGCATTCCTAAATACCAGAGTAACTTCCATGCCTTTCTCTTACTCGTCTAGATCCCTTTGACCTCAATCATAATCTTGGAGCTGGAGTCTCTAGAAAAAGTACGTATGTTCCTAAAATATGTGGTCTCCTCAATTTAATTGTGAACTACATATACTCATTAAATAATGTACTATTAAATGCATCAAAAAACGTGCCCTTAAAATCCAAAAATGTGAATACATACATAAAAGAAAAATGCCAATAGGAAAGTGCTCTCAAGTTCATTAAAGTGTCTAACATCAAAAAACAAAGTGTCCAATAACAGAAGTCAGAGTGCCACGTGCTACAATAAAGTGCATGAATCTTCCTCTGTAATAAAACATAAATCTTCATCCTTGTGCAACTGCCCCCTATGCACTCTAGCAACTCACCAGAGTTAATGATAAAGCTGGCTCATAAACAGGTGCATGTCAGTAAATTAGAATCTCATCAAAAACTTAATTTATTTCAGTAATTTAATTTAAAAAGTTAAAACATATATTATATAGATTCATTACAGACAGAGTGATATATTTCAAGCATTTCTTTCTTTTAATTTTGATGATTATGGCGTACAGCTAGTGAAAACCCAAAATTCAGTATCTCATAATCTTCAAAATTGAAAGAAAGAAATACTTGAAATATATCACTCCGTGTGTAATAAATCTATATAATATATACGTTTCACTTTTTGAATTGAATTACTGAAATAAATTAACTTTTTGATGATATTCTAATTTATTGAGATGCACCTGTATACAGCTATGACCCAAGATCAGTTCTCTTCCAGCCACTGCAGGATTCCATACACTTATCATCGATTTATTCCTCCATTCTCAGATGTTACCCAATGGAATGTCTTTTTATCTACTATATATGAGCTGCTTTTCATGTTTTGTAGCTTTCTGCATACCTGATTACTGGATGAAAAGGTAATCACATACTGCCAAAAAGGAAGCAGGCACTTCAGCAAAACAATGTCTGTCCTCATAGCATGTGGAAAGGAGGATAGATATTGCTTAGATGAAGTACTTGCTTCTTTTTTTGGCAGTGTATGGCAGTAAGCAAAGAATAAGTGAAGTTTTGTAGATCTTTTTGGAAATAGTCTAGTTGCTCCACAGAGTATATGACTACCTTTCACCAAACATGGGGGGGTGGAGGGGGCTCAACTCTATTTTGCATAAGCCCAGTCCTGACTTGATCACTTGTATTGGTCCTTAGTACAACATTGCAGCAGGTGTGTATGACATGATTGCATTGTACATGAAGACTCCCTGTTTATACAAGCTTTCCCCCCCCCCCCCCCCCTATATTTTCTTTTTCTTAGTGACTAATTTTATAATGAAGGCATTTATTAATGGAAGGAAGCTTTTTGGGACTCCATTCTACCCACAGCCTGGGCTTGAAGCGGTAAGGCTTAAATGTATTTCTTTATGTCCGAAATTTCTTAATCCTGTATGTGTTGCATGTCAGATGACTAAAGAGACATTTATTGCCTTGAGTCATTGTGAATGGTTGTAGTTGCTTTAGATCTGAACTCCAGGGACAATACATTTCTAGTTAACCATTTAAAAGTCAGCATACATGTCCCACATATGTCTTCATTTTATTCCCTAGTGCCACATAGCACTCATAAAAAAGGTGTCCTCTGTCATGCAGTGTCCTTATTTCCAATGTCCCTGAAAACAGGATAAACAGTCTGCTTCTGCAGATTTAGGTGGATAGGGCTAATGTCATTATGTCAGCGTTGCTGGCATTAGGTGGGGGTCAGAAGTGGGAGCTGGGGCACTGCATACAGACTTTCCCCACCATGCATCTTCTCTGCCTAGTTCTGCCTTCTGCCACTTTGCTGAATTATTCTCCGCCCACCTTTCTCCCCGTGGACCCATTTTCCTGGCTTGCATGATCATTTGTGCCCTGTGATGATGTCATCAGAAGACGAGCAACTGCACAATGCAGGGACAAGGACACTAGAACCTTTATTATGTAGTGGAAAAAAACACATTCATTGCATCTTTTATATTTTCTATACTGTTCTCTCTTGGACAGAAGTTGGTTCTCTCTGACTACCCAAATATTGTGGTACGTACGTTATTACTTTTCTAAAAAATTAATACTCAATAAATCTTGCTGTCCACAGGAATATTTCTTCGATTCCAAAGTCCTAACAGATGGGGAGCTGGCTCCTAATGACAGATGCTGTCGAGTGTGTGGAAAGATTGGTCATTACATGAAGGACTGCCCTAAACGAAGGAGGTATGAGGATTTTTCAGTGTTAATTGTTGACTACTATATCACTATAGCTTATTGCAGTGGCCTCCAAATTGCAGCCTGTGGGCCAGACGTGGCTTTTTGCTTGCTTCTATCCAGCCTTTGGGGCGCTATTCCTCCCACAGACATCAACGATGGAACACTATTCCTCTCACTGGCACGAATGATGGGGGCACTATTCCTCGCACTGACACCAAGAATGCAACACTATTCCTCTCACTGACACCAACAATATGGCACTATTCCTCCTACTGACACCAGTGATGGGGCACTATTCTTCTCATTGACACCAATGAAGGGGCACTATTCCTCCCACTGAGATCACGATGGAGTACTATTCCTCCCACTGACATCAATGATGGGGTACTATTCCTCCCACTGACACCAATGATCAGGCACTATTCCACCCACTGACACCAACGATGGGGCACTATTCCTCCCACTGACACCAATGTTGGGGAGCTATTCCTCCCACTGACACCACCGATGGGGCACTATTTCTTCCACTAAAACCAAGATGGGTCATTGTTTACTCCTGATGCAGGGACATTTTCTAATTCCACTGGCCAGTAAACTGTCCCTTTGTTTAGAAAGATCAGAGACCCTTGTTCTGTTGTAAGGGTCCTTTCAGATGAGCATTCAGATTGGATCCACCTGTCAGTTTTTCAGTGCGTATAAATGGAAATTCAATATTAGTCTATGAGCTACCTCCTAACAGGGTTGCCAACCATCTGTACTTTTACAGACAGTAAAAAACAACCCTTTTTTATTCTGTCCATAGATGTCAGGAGAACTGTCTGTAAAAATCTGAATTCAGTTGGCACAGAGCTGTGAAATGCAGTGCTGGATGATGTCATTATGATGTCATTCTTGGTCAGCATAAGGAAGAAAGGATCTTTGCAATCACATGATCTGCTTCCTTAGGCAGCCCATAGGTAATTCTCTTTATTTGAAAAAATCTGACAAGTCAATTGTACAGACGTTGATCAGTAGATCAACTTCTGTCCAGCCTCCCTACACATACGTGGATCGAAAGTCGAAGTGTGGCATATATGGTGGAATGGAATCTTTTGTGGATGAGCACATGTTTCTTCACATTGGCAAATAGGAGGACTTTTGTGATTGATTTATTTTTTGTGGTAGTTTTGTGGCGTGGTATTTCATTCTATTATTTATATTTTAGTCATTCACTTCTGTGCACTTTGATATAATGATGTTTGGATTAGCACAGCACTTGTTCTTGCGCTTATTTATATGATACAGTATATCTAGTATTGTGTAAACTGCATTTCTTTTTTTAAGTTTATTTTGACCATAAGCACCTTTTTAATTGGAGTTTTAATTAAAAAATTGTGGAGCAGCTTTTTGCAGACAGCTCTTTGTTACTATCAGGGGCTGTGGGGTAGAGCAGGTAGCAATCCATATGAGTGCAGGGCCTTACAGCCACCCAAAGTGGAGAAGTGGTGGTATCCTGGCATGCCATTGTAGGCATTTCCATAAGGGCCTGCTAGGATACCGCCACTTCTTCCCTCCAGACGGCTGTAAGGAAGCCGCATCCACCACTCTGCAGTGCGCCTGCATAGACTGCAACCCATTCAATCTCACAGCCTCTGCTGGCCACAAGGGAGCTGTCATTTACATCAGCGGTATGGACTGCTGCCGCTCTGAAAAGTTATCCATTTTCGGATCCATTTTTAGAAGCATTTGACAGGTGGTGAGGAGGCAATGTGTTGCCTCCTCATTGCCTGATTTAATCCTCTAAATACCAATGCAATGTACATGGTTGCAGACCATTTGCAGTGTGCCCCCATTCACTTGAATGGGTTGTGTTCAGCAGGCGGTAGTGTCTTCTGACTGTGAAATGGGGTAAATTTGTACTGTGATCTTGATGCTTTGCAGTTTGTGTGTACTCACAGCCGATGACTTTGCACCCTAAGGAGGAGCAGTTGGGGAGTGGTCAAAATGCGGCTTACCTTCCCCCAACAAGTGTTAACTAAGCCTCCTGCAGGTAACTGCACCACACATTGGATTCTTCAATACCTGTGTTGTAAGTGACACTGAAAAGTTCTGAGCTTATATGCTAAATGCAATATCTTTTTTTTAAGTCACTAGGCCTGTGACATACTGTATTTCTCTGTACTCATTTGACTGGGGACTGCACCTGTCAATTTGAACATAGAGATGCATGGCCTCCCCTACAATTCTGCAATACAAAACTTTTTCTGGGAGCTAAATTCATAACTACAGTATATATATTTATATGAATAGTAATTTTCAGTATTCTGTTCTTAGGCTAAAAAAGAAAGAAAATGAGAAGGATGATGACAAAGACATTAAGGAGGAGGAGAGGGAACTGAGAGAAAAGAGGTGCTTTACCTGTGGCGATATTGGACATGTGCGCAGGGACTGTCCTGAAAACAACACTGCCAGACAGAAGAACAGTATTCTAGGTAATTTTCTGAAAACCTAACACTACACAACATGAAGTATTGAAGATGACAGAGCAGAATGATTTCATCTGTGTATTAGGCTGTTTGTCTGGAGTTCTGCTTTAAGAACACGAGTTACATTTCTAACATAGAATAAATACATAGCCAGGTGTGGAATAATTTATTTTTGGGGCTTTTTTAAGGTGTTGGATCATGGTAATAGAAATATGCAGCTACATTATAGAAAAAAAAATTATTATTTTTTTTTGCCAATTTAGGCCAGTTTTCTTTTTAATATTAACCACATGCCGCCCAGCCACCGCATATAAACGGTGGCAGGGCGGCGCTCGTAGCCAAAAGCACGTTTTAAAACGTGTGCCTACAAAACAGGCAGGGGGCGCGCGCGAGGCACGCGCCCGCCCTACCTGTCCCACGGGTGTCAGCAGCGGGTCCCCGCCGCCGGGTCACGGCCGGTTTTTACCGGCCGTTTTCCCGCGATGAGCGGTAAACACTGAAACAGAGCAGGGCTGCATTGTTTACACACAGCCTGCTCTGTGACAGTTCGCCGCCAAGCTGCAGAGGGAGAATACAGTTTCTCTCCCTCGATCAGCTCCCCCCTCCCTCCCCCGTCCAGCACACACCCCCCGCCCCCTTAGTAAAACACTCCCCTCACACAGTGAACACTAAAAATGTTAACCCCTTCCTCCCCAGTGACATTAATACAGTTTCAGTGGTTTTTTTTTTTTTCACTGATCACTGTATTGGTGTCACTGGGGATGTCAGTGACCCAAGTCAGCTCCCCCCCAGTGTCAAAATGTCCGCCTCAGTCCCGCAGTCCCGCCATAAGTCGCTGGTCGCCGTCATATGTCGCTGATTGCCGCCATATGTTGCTGATCGGCGCCATTATTAGTATAAATAAAAATTAAAAAATTCCAGTATCTTTCCCGCCATTTGTAAACGCTATAACTTTCACGTAAACCAATTAATTTACACGTATTGGGGTTTTTTTTTTTTTTTTTTTTTTTTTTTTTAGCAAAGACATGTCGCAGAATGCATTTTTGGCAGAAATTTATGACTAAATTTGATTTTTGCATTTTTTTTTTACTGGACATGTTTTTTATAGCAAAAAGTCCAAAATATTGTTTTTTTTTTTTCCTCAAAATTGTCAGCCTTTTTTTTTTATAGCGCAAAAAATAAAAACCGCACAGGCGATCAAATACCACCGAAAGAAAGCTGAATTTGTGGGGAAAAAAAGGATGTAAATTTCATTTATGTACCGTATTGCATGACTGCGCAATTGTCCGTTAAACTAGCGCAGTGCTGTATAGCAGAAAAATGGCGTAAATTGCAGTATCTATACCATAGTTTGTAGACGTTATAACTTCACACAAAGCAATCAATATACACTTATTGGGATTTTTTTTTACCAAAAACATGGAGCAGAATACATTTTGGCCTAAATTTATAACTAACTTTGAGTTTACTGTATATTTTTTATAGCTGAAAGTAAAAAATATTGTTTTTCTTCAAAATTTTTGGCCTTTTTTTGTTTATAGCGTGAAAAATAAAAAAGCGCACAGGTGATCAAATACCACCAAAAGAAAGCTCTATTTGTGTGAAAAAAAGGACGTAAATTTTGTTTGGGTGCAGCATTGCATGACCGCGCATTATCAGTTGAATTAGTGCAGCGCCGAGTAGCAAAAAGAGGCCTGGTCATTAAGGGGGGTAAATCCTCTGGAGCTCAAGTGGTTAATAATAATAATAATAATAAAAATAAAAGAATGTGTTGATTAACATTTACCAGTTAATGGAGGCACAATTTATTCTGAAAAAACAAGGTATAATTTACCTGGATACACTGTAGTTACATGTTTTACAATGATATGCCCAATTCTAACTAACACATGCTGAAAATTTAAAACTGCATTCAGGCTTTAAGATTTGTGTTGCCATCAGATAATAAGGGGTTAAGATAGAAAACACCATGAGATTAAAAGAAATTCTAGAGCATGTTTCACAGCTGTAATCACTGCATTTCTCAGATATAATTGCAAGGTCTCCCTCCAGATTGGTCTTCCTTGAGTTTGTTTACAATAAGGAGGCTGGGGGTAGTTTTGAAGGGTAATGTAACAATGGAGTTGTGTCTGGCGGCCATGTTGTTCAGGAATCATAGGTCAGCCATGACGGTTTTGGCGAACAGGGGCAGCAGAGAAATCCTAGAAGTGCAACCCACAGCCTTTAAACTTAAGTCACATTTCTGCATGGGTCTGGAGCCTGTTATTTCAACTTAGGGACAGCAGACACCTGTTCACAGGCTTTTACCAGAACTCTAAATATCTAATTGAGGTCCTGGGTCTCACAGGGTCTGCTAGCCATAAACATCTACAGATTATTACTTCCCTTTGTGGGGGGAATTGGGATTGACCCATCATAAAACAATCACTGAATTCTTCAGTTATGTTACCCATATTTTGTAGGTCAATCAAACCCATTAGGAATACACAGCTTGCCGTAAAATGTCATACCCAGTGCTAATGGATATTGTAAAGCCAGTCAGGCCTGCAGCAACCTTTCAGAGACCTCTGCCTCACTCACAATTTCAAAAAAATCAACACACAATTCATAAAATCAGACAGGACCAAGACACTTTAATATTAAGTATATATTTGAATGCAGAATATCATACTGAACAAATCAAGGTTATACATGACTAAGCTATAGTAAACAGAAGGTGAGATAGCTGTCTCCTACCTCCTGGGTGACTGGCCTATCCGAGAGACCCCATGTTTAATACCTTTTTTTTCATTAAATATTTTATTTGCACCATTTTTATCTTTTCATTATTAAGCTATATTTTGAAAAGTGTTAAAACTGTCTCTAATGTAAAACATAAAGAATTCCTGTCTTTCAAGGAGTGCTACTGTAGTGTAAATCTTTGGATAGACTTGTCTATGGTAACAGTATGTGTTACAGACATTATTCTAAAGTCATGGGTACTATTGCTAATTTTGTGAGCATTTTACTATTTTTTGATAAAGTAGTTGGTGGCAGTCTGAAGAGTTAATTGCTTAGTCAAGTAAACCCAGTGACAATCACTCTGTTGGCACTCAGATTGCGGTCCCGTAAGCTGGGAAATCTTAGTGCCGGTTGAGGCTAAGAGTGTCATTGTTGTGAATCAATGACAGGCACAGTGTGAGGTTGATCAGCCATTTGGCACCAAATAGTGAAGGTGACAGTGGTCTGGCCCATGGTTGTTACAGGTATCTCTGCGTTTTTTGCTTTCTGTATGCATTAACTATCTTGTTCTAATGAACCTTAGTTTAAGATAATCAGTCCCAGCAGTCACCTTTAACTGGTTTAACTTGCATAAAATAAAATGTGACAAGTTGTTATTGGTTACTACAGTTTGCACTTTAATATTTAGTATATGTAACATTAGAGAAGGCCCTCAAAGACTGCAAACATATTACAGGACATGTTAGTTATATTGTGTCTATCACACACCTTGCGGGCTTGCCCACAGTTCAGGTGTGTGTAGTGAACTGGCGGATGGTATCACCATACAATCATAGAAAAATAAAGATCTCTGCAAACTCTGCGACCATGTCCTGTAATTTGAAAATCGGGATATTCACCAGTACACCTAGATTTAGTGATAATATTGTCCTTTATTTAAATAAAACAGGCATCACAAGCTGATGTTTCAGGACCTCACAGCATCCATTTTTCAAGGCAGAGGAGAGGATATAAAAATATTGTAAAATTAGCTTTGTCATATATTGAAACATACCCTGGATCACTCCCCATTTGCCTCATGAAGGGATCCCTATTTTCATAATACAGGACATGGTCACAGAGTATGAAGAGATCTTTATTTTTCTATGATTATATGAGTGCTGACATGCTACATGGATGATTGGAAACTGGAGGCATGTTGCAGGAGACATTCAAAAAGTCCATAAATAGTACACAATACTGATGTAAGATACTATTCACAGCTGGACTCCCCAGTTATCCGCTCCGAATTAAGGAAGCTGGAGAACACTGGCTTTGTAATTACCATAACAGTTGGTTAGAACAGTAAGTTCTGGTTTGGGATCTCTTACCACTGACATCTCCTAGGGATATGAAAAACCAGCATGCGATCCAGCTTTCCAACAATTTTGCCAAGCCATATAGGATATTGGCTTGTAATATAGTGCCCATGTGCCCATGTTGTTGGTTGAACTATTTATCTCTTTTAGCTTCTCAGATCCTTAGCCGCATTGTTCCTCCGCAAGTAATCAACCCTTTACAACAGCTGGAGCGTCCAACACGCACAAGACAGGCTTCAGAATCGGTAAGTGTAAAAGAGTCTACTTTGGAGAATAAATGGCATGGCTGTTACTGGGTTAGCTAGGAATTTTCTGTTACCATGCAGTACCTGTTTGGAGGGGCATAGACGGATGGGAGGTAACGTAAATTTGGGACCCTTACTTTCTGTGAGGAAGCAGTGATCTAACTGCAGAGTTCCCACACACCCCCTACTGAGTTAGGAAATCAGCTGTGAACATGAGCCTTCTTGATTGCAGAGCTACAGGTCTGACTCGGTAGAGAAAGTACTGCTTTCACAGAGAAATCAATGGTCCTACTCTGCAGATGCTGGCAGGGAAGTGGTTTTTCTACTCAGGTTGTAGCTTCTTTAGAAAACAGACATTGCACACCTTTTATTTTTAACCACTTCCTGTCTGTTTGTATACAAACAGCCGGACTGGAGCAGTGCAGGGGCGGGTTGCCGTTTGAGAGCACGCAGCACCGCAATCCAGTCCCTGCTGTGTCCGGAGGACACAGTGGAACACCGATCGTTGTACGGGACCTCTGTGTGAGGTCAGAATCGTGACCACTGATTGGCCAATCAGTGACACATGAAGAGTAGTTAGCAAGATGTCACTTCTGACATCATTGCTTACTACGTGTGAAATCTGTGAATGATCACAGAGGTCGCATGGTACAAGGCTATTCACAACAGTCTTGTACCATGTGACAAGCTGTGACCATTCACAGCTCACACAGTATTTCTCAATGGCTGCAAGAATGCAGCCAGAGAGAAGGAGAAATGATTGCTTTTACAGCCTTTATGGGTGTAAAAGCAATCAGTGTAAAAAAAAAAAAAAATATTCATAACCCATAACAAGTAGTACAGTGTCACTATGGTGACACTGTACTGCTAGGGTGACAGTATGTTAAAAAAAATAATAAAATTAATAATACAAAAAAAAAAAATCTAAAAAATTTTTTTCAAAAATTATACTTTTTGGTTATAAACTAATTCGGGTTTTTTTTTTTTTTTTACTAAAAAGATATCTGAATACATTTTGGCCAAGATTTATGAAGAAAGATTATTTATTTGCAAAAACTTTTTTTTTCTAAATTTTTGGACTTTTTTTTTCATATAGCAAAGAAAATAAAAATCCCAGTGGTGAATAAATACCACCAAAATAAAGTTTTATCTGTCTCAAAAAAAAATGCTAAAAAATTCATATGGGTTCAGTGTTGCATGACCGCGCAATTGTCATTCAAAGTGTGATAGCTCTGAAAACTGAAAATTGGACTGGACAGGAAGGGGGTAAAAGTGTCCGGACTTGAAGTGGCTAAGAACCTGGAATGTATTTAATTAAATTAAACTAAAGGTTCAGTTGAGCTTTACATACTTTTTAGTCCAGGTAAGGTTGACTTGAACCTTGCAGTATCTTTATAAGATGGTGTTAATAAATTTGTGTAAGGGTTACACTTTTCAAAAATATATGTATGGCTAGGTCCACTTTAACTGTCTTGTCACCTCTGGGATTAAAATTGTATTTCTAATTTTGTGTTGCGTCTTCCTTTTTGTAATCGGAATCTCATCTTTCATCCTATTCTCCGCAGCCTCAACCATTTCAGCAGAACTCCATAAACCAGTCTCAGCCCCAACAGACAAAACTACAACAGCAAGCGTCTCAAGCATCAAATGCCCATCAGGTTCAGCGGCCAATGTTTACCTTTCCACACTCTCCTCCCACTCACTTCTCTCCTCTGCACAGTCTTGGGCTTCTCCCTTTGCCTCCTCAGATTCCTATTCACAACAACAACTGGCCCATCCATGGCCAGATCATCCGCTCTTCTGGGAACCCCCCTCACTCTAGTGGTGTCCCCTTCCCAACACGATCTGGCAGCAGCAACACCTCAACCTCCAATCAGAGTGCGGTTAGTCTGAATGATCCCAGCATCATTTTTGCCCAGCCTGCTGCCAGGTCTGTGGGTGTTCCCACCTCTATTCACGATGGACACCGGCACAATTCCCAAACTCCCACTTCACTGGTGAGCAATGGAAACGTGGGCGGCACAGGTAAATTTTCACTGTACAACATACATGTGTCATGACTGAGAGCATTGTTATTTTATAGTCAGAATCTTCGTACCCACGGCTGCATATAGGGTCCAGACTTGAGATGAGCTGAATTTCCTGTTTCCACACTGCAGTGTTTCCTTTACATACAGGGGTTAGACAAAAAAATGGAAACGCTACAAGATTCGCAGGTGTGAAAGTGACGACTTGCGTTTTGCGTTGAAAGGGATTTAACATTCCTTTGCTTTCGCTGTGTGATGAGACCGCTAGCTAACTGGCTGGAAGCCTGTGAAGACTGAGCTCTGCAGTCACTTTTGCAGCAGTTGTTTTTTTTATTCCGGATAACAATCCTGCGCAATGTCCTTTTTGTCTCTTTTGGTCAGTTGACCATGTTGACCGCGCGTATGCTTATCAAACGATGTTTTCCTAGAAACCGTATGTGCCATCATGACGTTTGATACTGTACCTTGCGATACGGCAGATAAATTAGCAACATCAATCACAGAGGCACTAGCTAAGCGGCACCAACAATTTGCTCTCTTTGAAGTTCCGTAAGCTCTGACATGACTCTGTATTACTAGCAGCGCTCGCAGTGAATGACAAAAGTGTGGCTTCCCACCTGTTAGCTAGGTGTCTCACCACACAACGAGCAAAAGGGGTTACATCACTTCCGCTTTCAACGTGAAACATGCAGTCACTTTCACACCTGCAAATCTAATAGTGATTCCATTTTTTTGTCTAACCCCTGTATATTTCTATATAGAATTCAGGCTTTTGTTCACTTCAGTTGGGTTTTGCATCCCCATACAAGTCTAAATCAATGCCAAACCCATATGTAACATGTCAAATGCAGGCTGAACATCAACTACAGGTCAAATACACCTAACGGGGAGTTTTCAATTATCTAAAAGTGCCTTAAATTGATGTTATCAATACAAACCCAAAGCGTAGTGACACAGGCGCTCAGGGTGTCATTGATCCTTTATTGGATTCCCAGCAGGAATACACAGAGAATGATTTCCAGATGGAGAACACAATAAAGAATGATATGGCACAATAAAGGATTGTGGGAATGCACACAGGGGCCACTGGCAGCAGTAAAATACTGGTGAGAAATCAAACTGGGTACCACTGTAGCTAGAGTTTAAGCTTTTATTGAGTGCAGTTCTGCTTTAACAACCTGCTTACTTTCCAGATGTTGAATGCTTTGCAGAATCAAATGTTGATTTCTGCTGTATTGTATTTTGTAAATTACACTCTAAATTGTTTAAATTCACCAATCCTTGGCTGGCTGTCCTATAGAAAAAAATATTCTAGCCTGTTTTCCTGTAGACAAGATTGATAAAGCATTGGTAAGGATTTAAAGTGGCAACAACTCTACTTTTTTAAATACAAATCTAGCATATTTATGTGCTCTTCAGGGGAATGGGGATCATCTGCAGGAAGACCAGAGGCAAGGCTGGTGACTGTCCTTAGCCCTATGCCCACCTTTTTTGGGCCAGGTTTTCAGAGTCCAGTTTTTTTGTTTTATTGTCATTTAACACATATGTATTGTGTTAGCCTTGTACTGTATATTCTAATTTCTAATTTTCTGCTATTTCTCCTCAGCAGAGCAGGGATTTCAAGGCCAATTTGGTAAACCCCATCGCTGGGAGCGTGGAAATCCTTCTCACTACCCTCTGATTTCAGGACCGTGGTCTTACACCTTACCCCAGAACTTCCTGCAGCAGACACCTGCTGGCTTTCATTCCAAGAACTACTTTCCTCCAGGTAATGCCAACTCTAAACCCTACACAAACGATTTCTTTTTTTTTAAGGGAAACATACGGTATTGTCTTAAAGGATAAGTTCATCTTTGGGAACATGCTACATGTTCCTGCAGCTGCTCATTGGATCTGAGCGCCTGATGTGACAGCAGTACAGGGAGAAGTTCCCCGTACTAACTGTCACTTTTTGAAAAGAATGTGGCTGTACAGGGGCCGTCATTCACTCCACACAGACACGTCATTCATTCACAGAGTTCTGTGAATGAATGAACTACAAGTACCAACATCCTTTGCGGCTATCGGCTTGTAGTTCTCCATGAACTACCACGGCACTGTTGAGCACTGTGGTAGTTCATTGATTCTTCCTGTCAGTGTGAAAATGCCTGCCCGTGCTACATATGAGCAGACAGATTACACAGACAATCTGCAGGAGTCCTGCTTGGCACCAGTGATCTGCTGGTTGCTGGTGCAATGGTTTCCAAACTCCTTAAAAAAAAAAAAAGTAAATGCACATTTTTTTTACCTGCAAAAAAATGTGCATTTATTATTTTTTTTAAAAAAAAGGTGAACTTAGCCTTTAATTTTATTTTGATTAGAACAGGCAAGCAGGGAGGGGGAAGAGCTCTGTAACCTAACCAGCAAAGTTGATCAGAATAGAAGGGGATAGGAAAAATGATTACTGCTGGCTGTAAGTGATGATGCTGAATATTCTCATGCAATGTTTTGACATTTACCTACCAAAAAATGACTTCCTGGCCTAAGCGTATCAAGAGTAAGTGGCAGAGACATTCTGTATGTCTTGCTGCCAGACATTGAAGAAGGTGCTTGTTTCTTGACACCTCTTGTATAGTACAAACCAAGAGCATGCTTAGGGCATCATGTTTATTTCTATTTGCAACAGTGTGAGAAGGCGACTCCTAGTATCTGCCTGACTCACATCTCGCATAGACTAGAGCCTAAATCTCATGGAGCTCTCATGTAGCTGTGCAGTATGCTCAAATGATACCTGTCCCTGGTTTCTTGTCCCTCTTACCCCACAGATACAGAAAGCGAGGGCCAAATGTGAACACATACAGTAATAAAAACCAGAAGGAGATTCTAACCTTTCCACATGCTATCCAAAAAAAAGAAGTAGGGTTGTAACAACCAAGAGAAGGCAACCTTAGCAGACTAGCTGGTCTGAAACTAGTAATTCCATCATGCCTGTAGTTGTCAGTCTTGCAGTGCCTCATGCAATTTGAAGTTTTACAAAAGCTGGGGAGTGCCAAGGTTGCCTACCCATTATAGACAATATAATACCAGTGATTAGTCCTCCAGCCTCGCGGGGGAGGGGGGGGGGGGTACAGTGCAGGAAAGGAAAGTGTTGACCCCACTTTTTGTTTTATTTTCCAGCTGCCTCATTGATTCAGAATGGACCGCAGTTCTCAGTCTTATCACAGGGGCACCCACACTTAAACTCCAGCTACATCCAGCAAAAGAAGTGACGCAAAGAAACTTTCCACCTTGATATTTTGGATTTTATTATCTATAACCTTCCCCTGGCTAAAGCTGAGATTACCACCGACCTCATGGGCAGTGGGAACTTTTAATCTGTATTATTTGTAAATACATCGGCTTTAGTTTTACTGAAATCATTCCTTTGAGTGATGCTAATTTCTTTTATTTCATTGCCCCATTTTGAGGGGAGCTTTATGTTCTATTATGGGAAAATATTAAACAAAAGAGAGCTTTTTTATTGAAATTAAGTTCCTTATTTTCTCTGTTCATAAACTGGCTGCTTTTGAGCTCTCTATAAATGTATATATTTTAGTTACCAAAAGAGGATTTAAAATAAAAAAAGAATGTAATTTTTTTTTTACAAGTCTTTTATTATTTGGGTCTGATGCAGGTGCCAAAAAACTTTTAAATCTGAAGTCTTGTCTTATTTTGGTACCAACAAAAAAGACCATTTTATCAAATTCTTTGTCCCATGAAGTGTAAAAATTTTTTTTTTAATTATGAAAAAAATCTGAGCTGCAAATTTTAATTATTTCCTAAATTGGTTTCTTCATTTGTAATAAAATTGAGAATACCATTGAACTGGCCAGTTTGTCAAATCGTCTTATCTTATGCTCATTTTTTACAGTTTCGGTTCATGTATATAATTAGTTGGGATTAGTAAGAAAACACTTTTTAATGGTCAGCTCTATAGAGCTTCTTTGTGACAGCAGAAACATCTGGGAAATAGCAATTGCATTTTTTGCTGTTCTTAACTCCTTAATGGATCTAGCGACACTTAATTCCTTTCCACCAACAATATGTATGTAAACATCCCACAGCAAGATGTGTCCTGCTGGGGATAAGTTTAAAGCAGAATTCCGGGCAAAAACTTTTTTATATGTCCTTGATGCTGATTTCCTACTTTCACAGAATGTGTCATCCATCTTCTGGTTCACTCAGTAGTTGCTCTGAAACAGCCTATTCAAACAGACTATTAATTTTCAAATCAAACCATTACTTATCTTTGGTTCCCGGGTTGTAAGACCAATGGCTGTTTTGCCTCCTATTCCCCCAGGCACTGGTCCTTGCACATCCCTTCTGTAGTTCTTTCTCCAGGAAGCAGTGATGTAACTCAGCTCCACCTGCAATGGTGGGCGGACTGAGCCCCTCAGACACATTCAACATGTACATGCCTAGTGTACCCACCCACATTCACTTCAATTCCCTGGGGTTGATGGAAACTGTAGTTTCCTTTTACTGAAAAGAGAAAGGAGAGGATATGAATGAATCCCTGCTGTTACACCTCCTCCTTGCAGAGCAGATGTTGTTATCTTTTAAATTACAGAGATGAGGTCATGAAAATTCAATTATACTTTTTTTTTCAATGGTAAAGATTTTCAAAATTGTATTAGCGGTTTAGTGTTTTGTGTAGGGGGGTGTACCAATGGGTGATTTTTTGCCTATCCCGAGTTCTTCTTTAAAAGCATCAGCCACCAGCCAACATTAAAGAGACATAGCCATGGAAGATTAATGAAGGTTGCCATTACGGAACCCTTTTTTGAAAATGCTAGCTCCCTGGCTGTCATTCTGATGCTTTGACCTCATTGATTGAAGCTACATGGGAGACCTTCATGTACGAAGGTTACATAGTCATATAAATAAAGAAAAACACACACACAAATAGAAAACCTCCATATACACTATCCAATATCCACAGTTTATCCAGAGGAAGACAAAAAAAAAGCAATAAAGCATGATCCATATAGTTGCATACCCTGGTGGAAATCATG